CTTCAGTGATTTAATTCCTCACGTAGCGACAGAACTCCCGAGGGTAGTATTGGGTATTCCTCCATTTATCATAAGTGTTCTTTTATTGCACCTCATGCGGTTTTATTTTGTCTTTTTTCCTCTGTGACACCTATTTGAGATAGCTGTACTGTGAAGACTCCAATGGGCTGGGTGTTACAGCTCTGCCAGTTCACTGATGACATTTTGATTTATGTTACTTTTCCCGTTGAGCTGAAAAGGAAAGAAACATTTTTGGTGTTTTTTTTCCCCCCACTTACAGGAAATTATTTTTAGATACAGGAGAGTGTAACATTTTAAATTTCATTACAACAAAATTTTGATTTGTAGTACTATGTTGATTCCTTTAAATTTTATATTACGATTCATCATTTATGTCTCTTATGCTGCTTGTCAGTCATCATTTTGTCATACTGCCATACTGAGTCTGTATATGAACACTGTGTCCTTCAGTGTTCAAAAATCACATTCTTAGAATTATTTTGAAGACATCTGTTCTTTGAAAAGTATTATTTATTTCATTGTGCTCAGTGGTCCCTTATAAGAGTCACAAAAGCTTGGAACTAACATGTTAGACTTCAAAATTCTCCTTGTTTGTTATCTTAATCACAACATTCCCAATGATGTTTTCATAAGTTTGAGCTTCTGCCAGTTTAGTGATGCATAATACGAAAACACTGAAAGTTATCTTTCATTATATTAAAGATCTTTGTTTCAGGCATCTATAATGCAATAGCAAGTGGTTCAATTTCATGAGAATGAACCTTAAATTTTTCAAAATATAAAAATATGCTATAAATAATTAAGATTTGTTGATTGTGTTCAGTATGGTTTTATTGTCTTTGCATTATATGCTATCTGAAAAAATTTAATCAGATCTTGTAAATATTTACGGATTGTATATTAGACTCTTTCAACATTTGATTTTCATTTACACTTCACAGGAATACTTAGTGCTTGACATTATTTTCATTTTTTAAAAATAGATGAAAACAAAGAGGCACAGACAGTTAAGGCAAGCATGATAGAGGGGAATCATTTTTGTTTATGTGGGTAGTGGAGCTGATTTTTAATACCAGCTGTTGAAACTTGAAATTTGCTTCTCTACAGCAAACCATAGCTATGCAAGATTTCTAACTTTTTGGGTTAACTAGAACTTGTCATTTCTATTATATAATTATTTTCTAACCTATATTTTGGGTTATTTGAGGGAGCCAGATATAGCTAATTGTAGTTCAAGTCATGACATTTTTACATAAATCTGTATTTTATGTTTAATACTTTTCTGCAGTTCTTTGCATACTGCATGCTAATTAGAATAATTCTGGCACAAAGTTACAGTTCTGCCATTGGTATCTTTTGATGCCAAAATGCAAGGAAAAGAACTGAGATAACATGTTGATACTTGAAACTGCAAGAGATGATTTCTTTGCTAAATTTATCCTTCTGTGGCTTATATTTACCTTCAGAGTGTTGTATTTACATTATAATGGCTAATCACTTTTATCTTTTAATATCACTCATTAAGTTATAGAGAATTTAATATTTTGGTTGAGTTTAACTACCATTTATAAATATATTTTCTCTAGGAATGCACACATGGGAAGACATAAATTATCATAAATTGCTTTGTACTTTGTAAAATAATAGCTTTACTGAGATATAACTCACCACTATAAAAATGTATATTTTTAAATTGTAATTCAGTAATATTCCCTGAGTTGTACAACCATCAATATCTAATTCTAAAGCATTTTATCAAGCCTGCAGAAACCTCATGCCCATTAGCAGTCACACTCCATTTTCACAGCCTTCAGGCTCTGGCTTCCAGGAATCTACTTTTTAGCACTATGCTTTTGCCTAATATAGACTTTCTACATAAATGGAATTACACAACATATGACTTTTGTTATTGGCTTCTTTCAATTAAAGTTTTTAATGCTTATCCAGAGTGTGTTATGTATCCATATATTTTTTTTTAAGGCTAACTATATTACACTGTATTTAAAATACCACACATTGTTTACTGTGGTATTTCTTCATATCACATTTGAGTTGTGTTCACTTTGTCTTTCATTTTATTTATTTATTTTTTTGAAACAGAGTCTTGCTCTGCCACCCAGGCTGGAGTGCCATGGCTTGATCTCAGCTCACTGCAACATCTGTCTCCAGGGCTCAAGGGATGCTCCTGCTTCAACTTTATGAGTAGCTGGGATTGCAGACGCATGCCACCATCTCAGGCTACTTTTTGTATTTTTAATAGAGATGGGGGTTCACCATGTTGGCCATGCTGGTCTCAAACTCCTGGCCTCAGATGATCTGACCACCTCGGCCTCCCAAAGAGTTGTTTTCACTTTGAGTTGTTAGAATATTGCTGCTATTGACATTTATGTATAAGTGTTCGAGTAGACATGTACTTACACCTATTATATTCAGAGATATACCTAAAAATAGTTAATTCGCTGGGTCATATGTTCAGCATATTTAGGAACTGTCAAACTGTTTTCCAAAGTGGCTGAACCATTTTATAATTTTACCAGCAATGAGGGAGGTTTTGAATTCCTCCACATCTTTATCAACCTTTTTTTATTGCCTGCGTTTTTGTTTCAGCCATTCTACTGGGTGTGACATTGTGTTTCACAGTGGTTTTGATTTACACTTCCGGAATAAATAATATGGAGACTCTTTGTATGTGTTTATTGGCCATTTGTGTATCTTTAAAGAAATATCTACGCAAATTCTTTTTTCTCCATTTTTTATTGTTCAATTATAAGTGTTTTTTATTGTTCAATTATAAGTGTTCTTTATATATTTTGGATGAAAGTCCCTCATCAAACATACAAATTGCAAATATCTTCCCCATTCTATGAATTTTTTTTCAATTGTTTAGTAGTGTCCTTTGAAGCACAAAAGATTTGTCTTTGATGAAGTCCAGTTTATCTGTCTTTTTTATTGCACATGTGCACGTGTGTGTGTGTGTGGTGTGGTGTGTTTCCATAAAGCTGTTGCCTTAGGTCATACATACTTTTTTTCTATGTTTTCTGCTAAAAGCTTTGTACATTTTCCTTTTGTATTTAAATCTACGATCAATTTTGGCTAATTTTTACATATAAGTGTGAACTCAAAATATTTGAGACAGGTCTCAATCAATTTAGAAAGTTTATTTTGTCAAGGTTAAGGATGCAGGGATGACACAGCCTCAGGAGGTCCTGGCAATATGTGTCCAAGGTGATCTGGGAATAGCTTACTTTTATATATTGTAGGGAGACATAATACATCAATCCATGCAAATAAGATGTACATTGGTTTGACATGCAAGGGCAGGGCAACTCAAAGCAGGTGCTTACAGGTCATAACTAGATTTAAAAATTGGTTGTAAGAGTTATTATCAGTAGAAAGGAATGTCTGGGTTAAGTCAAGGGTTGTGGAGACCAAGGTTTTATCATATAGGCAAAGCCTCCAGGTAGCAGGCTTCAGAGAGAATAGATTGTGGTTGTTTCTTATCAGATGTAGGTGTGCGTTGATGTTAATGCCAGAGAGATGTAATAAGGCATCCCCAACCCCTACTTGCATCATGGCCTGAACTAGATTTTCAGGTTAACTCCATAATGCCCTTGGGGGAGAGGAAGAGTCAATTCAGATGGGTAAGGGGCCTTAGAATTTCAGTTTTTCTTTAAATTAGTGTAAAAGCAGTCCAAGTTATTATCATTTTCTTTGCAGGTATATATAACCAGTTGTACGGAGGGAACGTGTTCTCTTTCTGGGTCCACAAGGGGCGTAGTTTTAAGGGCAAGAACTTCCTAGCTCCATGCCCCCCTTCCATCTCTCTCCATCTGGGAGATTTAATGGTTTCTGTTTAAATTTTGTGGGCATGGGAAGAAACTAAGAGTCGATCACCCCAGTGGAAGTCCTAAGGAACTCCTTTCATTGTCCCAGGGTCTTAGAGAAGGTGGGGGTTCCTCCCAGGTTAAAAGTCCCCTTCTTCCATAGCCCTTCAGACTCCATGTTTGGGTCCCCTTCCACAAACACTCTAATAGAAGCTGCTTTTCTCTATCCTGGATTTTCCTTCTGGAGTCCCCTTCCACACTCTCTCATGGTAGCCTGTCTTCCCCTCCTAAACTCCATCTCTCTCTCTCTGTTCCCTTCCACACAGTGTGGAAGCTGCTTTCCTCTCCTGGATTCCATCTTTCTGGATTCTCTCATTCAGTGTGAGAGGAGTTTTCCTTCTCTGGTTTTCCCCCTCTGGAAACCCTTCTCACTCAGTGTGAGAGCAGCTTTTCCTACTCTCACTCAGTGTGAGAGTTAGCCGTTTCTCTCTCCTTCTCCTTTTTCTCTCTTTAAATAAATCACTTTCTACAAACACAATTTTGAGTCCGACATTTTTTGCGCACTGTGCAGTGGTCCCCTCTCTCATTCTTGAGAGAGCAGGAGACCAAGAACCTGGAGAAACGTCCTCTCAGGGGAACTAAGGGGGCACCCCTGGACCTCGTTATTACAGTACCAGTATCGTTTGTTGAGAAGAATATTTTTTGCCATTGTTTTGGCACCCTGCTGAATACCAATTGACCATAAAAATAGGTGTTTATTTCCAGACTCTCAATTCTAGTTCATTGATCTATATGTCTAACTTTACCATTACTACACTGTCGATTCCTGTAAATTTGTAGTAAGGTTTGAATTCAGTAAAATTTTGTTGTACCTCATCCAGATTGTTTTGATTAATCTGGGTCCCTTGCATTTCCCTATTAATTTTAGTATTAGTTTGTCAATTTCTGAAAAAAACACAAGGTAGCAGATATTGGAAAAAGGATTTTGTTGAATCTTTAGAACAACTTGGGAGGTTAATGTCATTTTAACATATATAGATTTTCTGATCCTGACATGTGATGTGTTCCATTTATTTAGTTCTCATTGAATTTATCTCAACAATGCTTTGTAGTTTTGAGTATACACGTCTTGCAGTTCCTTTATTAATAATAATCTCAAGTATTTTACTCTTTTTGATGCTATTAAAATGGAATTATTTTCTTACTCTCACTTGTGAATTTTTCATTGCTAGTGTCTAGAAATACAGTTGATTTTTGTATATTCACTTTGTATCCTGAAAAAATGCTGGGCTCAGTTATTAGTTCTAATAGTTGTTGCTGATGCAGCTGTATATTCAAGACCATGTCATCTGCAAATAAAGATAGTTTTATTTTTTCTTTCTAATCTGGGTACCTTTATTTATTTATTTATTGCATAATTCTCCTGCCTAGATTATCCAGTACAACTTCAAATATCAGCGGTAAAGGCATTAATATTTTGTTCCTGGTTTTAGGCATAAAGTCTTCCAGCACTGAGTAAAATATTTGTATGGTTTTGGTATCAGGTTAATATTAATCTCATAAAATGTGTTGAATTCTGTTCCCTCCTATTCCAATCTTGGAAGGGCTTATGAAGGAAAACATGTCCACTCTTTTAAAATGTGGTAGAATTTACCATCAATGCTGTTTGGGCCCGAGCTTTTCTTTGTGAGAAGTGATGGCTTACTCATTTAATTTATTTGCTTATTGTAAGACCATTCAGTTTTCACACTTCTTCTTTTGGATACTTTATGTCTTTCTAGGAATTTGATTATTTAAATTTGATATATAATTCATGGTCTAATACTTTATTTCATTTTGTAAGGTTACTGGTGATATTTTTTCTTTCATAGATGTTTTTCTTCTGTTTTTTGTTTTGTTTTGTTTTTGTCAATCTGGATACAGGTTTATCAATTTAGTTACTCTTTTCCAAGAACTGACTACCTATTATATTACAAATAAAAGTAGAAACACAACATCAAATATGATGCTACACTCAAATGGACAAATACATAAATAATACAAGCAATAACAAACAAGTACTTCCTTCAGGTTCTCATGCACTTGTCTTATGATTAAGCACCAATATACACCTACATAGGAAAAATAAAGAAGAATCATAGTGGGTCATGTACTGGCCTAATAATTCAACTTCATAATGTAGTGATGGAAATAATGCTGATTCAATAAATCGTTTCATTATTTTTGTTAAGAAAAATGTCAGTTAACATTTAATAATAAATATTTTCAAAGATGTAGTTCAAATAATTTCAAAAATATAATATTCCCTCCCTCATGGTAAATGTCTAAGATATTTAAATTTAGTATTGCTTTAGCAACAGCAACAATCTAATGTCAGGTACTGTTTACCATATAAGTAACACTATTTAAATTCTTATATTGACTGAAAAATCTTTAGATATATGTAATAAAACTGACCAATGTTACATAGTCTGAATTTGGATGTATTTTTGAAGGGAAAAGATGTTAAAATTAAATTAGGGGGATATTAGCTTGATAGAAATGTTTTATTATTTGTTACAATGGAGCATATATTATTTGAAATATAAATGAAGGTAACAACTGAGAGTTTTCCTAAATAACTTTGAACTATATTTTATTTCTGAGAGCTTCCCTCTCAAAATACATAGTATTTACCTAATGAAATGTTCAGAAACCTATCATGGAAAAGATTGTAAAACATCAAAAATTCTAACTGATGTATTGTAGCTAATTTGAAGGTGTCAGTGATTTTAATTTAGAAAACTGAAATCAAAGTAATCCTAAGTGACTTTTTTTTTTTTTTTTTTGCTTTTTATTGTACTTTAGGTTCTGGGGTACATGTGCAGATCATGCAGGATTGCTGCATAGATACATACATGACAAGGTGTTTTGCTGCCTTCATCCCTCTGTCACCCATATCTGGCATTTCTCCCCATGTTATTCCTCCTCACCCTTCCCAGCCACCACTGTCCCTCCCCTAGAACCCCCCAACTGATCGCATTGTGTGATACTCCCCTCCCTGTGTCCATGTGTTCTCACTGTTCAGCACCCACCTATGTGTGAGAACATGTGGTGTTTGGTTTTCTGCTCTTGTGTCAGTTTGCTGAGAATGATGGTTTACAGCTTTATCCATGTCCCTATGAAAGATGCAAACTCATTGTTTTTTATGGCTGTATAGTATTCCATGGTGTATATGTGCCACATTTTCTTTATCTAGTATATCATTGATGGACATTTGGGTTGGTTCCAAGTCTTTGCTATTGTAAACAGTGCTGCAGTGAACATATGTGTGCATGTGTCTTTGTAATAGAACAACTTATAATCCATTGGGTATATACCCAGTAATGGGATTACTGGGTCAAATGGTATTTCTATTTCTAGGTCCTTGAGGAATCGTCACACTGTCTTCCACAATGGTTGCACTAATTTACACTCCCACCAACAGTGTAAAAGTGTTCCTATTTCTCCACATCCTCCCCAGCATCTGTTGAAACCCAACACAACAGCAAATCAAAAACCTTACTCATCACGGTCAAGTAGGCTTCATCCCGGGGATGTAAGGCTGGTTCAACATATGCAAGTCTATAAAGGTAATCAATCACATAAACAGAACCAAAGACAAAAACCACATGATTACCTCAATAGATGCAGAGAAGGCCTTCCACAAAATTCAACAGCCCTTTATGCTAAAAACCCTCAATAAACTAGGTATCGATGGAAGGTATCAAAAAATAAAAAAAGCCATTTACGACAAACCCACAGCCAATATCATACTGAATGGGCAAAAACTGGAAGTATTCCCTTTGAAATCTGGCACAAGACAAAGATGCCCTCTTTCACCACTCCTATTCAATATAGTATTGGAAGTTCTAGCCAGAGCAATCAGGCAAGAAAAAGAAATGAAGGGTATTCAGTTAGGAAAGAAGGAAGTCAAATTGTCTCTATTTGCAGACAACATGATTGTAGATTTAGAAGACCCCATCATCTCAGCCCCAAATCTCCTGAAACTGATAAGCAACTTCAGCAAAGTCTCAGGAAACCAAATCAATGTGCAGAAATCACAAGCATTCATATACACCAATAACAGACTAACAGAGAGCCAAATCAAGAGTGAATTCCCATTCACAATTGCTACAAGAGAATAAAATACCTAGGAATACAACTAACAAAGGATGTAAAGGACCTCTTCAAGGAGAACTACAAACCACTGCTCAATGAAATAAGAGAGGACACAAACAGATGGAAAAACATTCCATGCTCATGGTTGAGAAGAATCAATATCATGAAAATGGCCATACTGCCCAAAATAATTTATAGATTCAGTGCTAACCCATCAAGCTACCAATGACCTTCTTCACAGAATTGGAAAAAAACACTTCAAACTTCATATGGAACCAAAAGAGAGCCTGCATAGCCAAAACACAGCTGGAGGCATCAGTCTGCCTGACTTCAAACTGTACTAAGTGATTTCTTATGCTTGCTCACTATTTTAAAGCCAGGAGGATATTAACGAGTCAGAATGTATCAGCATTTCCATAGCACTGCTGGGAGAAAGACCTTGGATTCCTATAACAGCATGTGTACACAATTACTGGAGGGGTTCCACTTGCAGAGTACACATATTTCATCAGTTATCAACATGTTCTCCCTGGATTTTAATAACTTTCTCATGAAAAATGTGATTACTAACCTGAATTGGCTAGAATCTTCATATTGGAAAATGGACAAAGAATATTAGTGAGGGAATGTGTTCTCTTTCTGGGTCCACAAGGGGGCATAGTTTTAAGGGCAAGAACTTAGTACCATGCCCTGCTCCCATGTCTCTCCATCCAGGAGATTTAACAGTTTATGTTTAAATTTTCTGGGCACTGGAAGAAACTAAAAGTCAATCACTCCAGCAGAAGTTCTAAGGAACTCCTTTCATTGGCCAAGGGTCTTAGAGAAGGTGGGGGTTCCTTCCAGGCTAAAAGTCCCCTTCTTCCTCACCCCTTCAGACTCCGTGTTTGGATCCCTTTCCACAAACACTCTTGTGCTCATGGAAGCTGTTTTTCTCTCTCCTGGATTTTCCCTCTGGAGTCTCCTTCCGCGAACACTCCCTTCATGGAAGCCTGTCTTCCCCTCTTGTCTATTCCCTTCATCTGTGTCTATTCCCTTCCACTCAGTGTGGAAGCTGCTTTCCTCTCCTGGATTCCATCTTTCTGGATCCTCTCACTCAGTGTGAGAGTTAGCTGTTTCTTTCTCTCTCCTTCTCCTGTTTCTCTCTCTCTTTAAATAAATCACTTTCTACAAACACTTTTAAGTCCGGCATTTACTGCGCACTGCACCATGGTCCCCTCTCTCATTCTTGAGAGGGCAGGAGGCCAAGAACCTGAAGAAACATCCTCTCAGGGGAGCTGAGAGCACCCTGAACCCCTGAACTCTAATATTACATTTTGGCAAGCCAGCCAGAAGAGGGGTACACCAGAAAGATGGGAACAGCCAGGAAAGAGGTATAGCCAGAGAAGAAGACTTCAAAATCGTGAGTAAAACCAGTAAAACCAGCCTCATTCTGTCCTGTCTCTTTAAGAACACCTGACTCGGCCACAGCCAGGCAGGGCTGTGGGGAACCAGAGCAGCGGCTGTGGCTCAGCCCCTCTGAAGCAGCTCGAGCCAGCTGGAATTAAAAGCGCAGTTTTTTGGTTTTTGTTTTTTGTTTTTTACCTCCAGTCTCTTTCTCTGCTTTCCGTCTCCTTCTCTGTCCTTCAGATATTATCTCTGGGACCAAAACCTTCGGAGCCTGTGGGGCAGATCAGGTGAGCACTGCCCCCAGGCCTTTTGCTCCTTGCCCGTGGGAACAGCCCAGCCCCAGGAGCGGGCAGCAGTCAGCTGGAGAAAACAACCGGGCGGGGCGAGGTGCAGCCCGAGCCTGCAGGGGACCGGGGAGCGCAGCAGCCTGGCCCATGGTTCTGGCACGCCTCTCCGGTGTTCTCCAGTCCCGGGCAGCAGGGTAAAAAGGCTCTCCAGGACACACAGGTCCCTGTGAGGGCAGGGCCTTCGGGAGTGGCCCAACCATGCAGGTGGTTCTGGCAGGGTCAACATGGCGACCGAAAGCCGCGGGGGTGGGGGAGCTCACGCCGGCCCAGCAGCAGCTGCGAACCTGGCTTTTAAACTGAGGCGGCAAGCGGCTTTTTTCCTCTGCTCCTGCGGCTGAGGAAAAGGAAGCGGCTGTTGGCCGTCAGCCCCGCCCAGCTTTTAGGCAGGCCACACCGCCTCAGGGTGCAGCATTCTCATTCAAAATATGGCTTAAGACAGCTTTCTGCCTTTCCTCAATGCAAGTGGCCTGTTTGCACAGTTAGTTAAAATGTTGGATCTGAAGCTGCAAAGTTGTCGGTTCAAGTCCCTGGTGGAGTCAGCCTGGAATTAGTGAGAGCTTTTGGGGAAATTCAGAAGCTAGAGGCTATGGGACTTTGTATTTGGTGTATAATTTGTCTTGCTTAGGATTGGCTCTCTCTATGGCAGAACTTTTCCATCTAGAAAATCATAGTTAAACAGGTTCCAGGCCCCAAATAGTCAATGGCAGGTCTGACAACCTTAAGAGCATTTTCCTCTAGGGAAGATGGGTTAGGGGAGAGGAGGCTGGGTCCTGAGGATGTTGGTCCAGCCTCAGCCATGCCCAGCCTGCCTTCTTTGAACTGTGTGCTCTAATGGCCACCCCTAGAAGTTTACCCTTCTGGGGCAGTTTTATAAATTGGCCTGTGTAAATTGGACTTTGCTGGGAAATATTGTTACCCATCTCCTGAGCCTCACTGGCCTCATTTGGGGCTCACTGGTACGATTACTACCCAACCCAATAGCCCGCTCTCGTTTCATGTGTCTATGGTAGCCACTGGAGGTCATGCAGGCAGTCAGAGTGGTCCCGCAATGCTGGTAGGTTGTTATTCAAATCCAGTACATAGGAAGCCCTCTGATAAGAGGGATCATGCATCTTGGGCACACAAAATGTCAGGGTACTGACTGAAGACATTTCATTTTAGTACCCATTTTACCTGGGGGAAACCTCAGGTTGAAGCGGCTGTAACTTCTTTAACTGGGGATTCGGACATCCTTTGTGTTCGATTTCAGATGGGTGCTTCTATTCCCAAGCTCAAGTTCCCATTAAAGTGTATACTGGAAAATTGGGACCAATTTGACACACAGTCTTTAAGGAAGAAGCAGCTCACTTTTTCTGCCAAATAGCGTGGCCAAATTACCCTCTGCCAAGTGGAAAATCTAGCCCCCAAAGGGAAGGGAAGAAAACCCCTGCAGCTTTCCTTAAGTGATTGTGGGAGGCTTTAAGAAAGTATACCAGCCTGTCACCAGACTCCACTGAGAATCAGTTAATGCTAAAGGACAAGTTTATTACTCATTCAGCAGCAGATATCAGGAGAAAGCTCCAGAAACTGGCCTTGGGGCAAGAACAGAGTCTAGAATCATTACTAAACCAGGCACACTTGGTGTTTTATAATAGAGGACAGAAAGAACAGGCTGAAATGAACAGGAGAGATCAGAGAAAGGCTGCTGCCTTAATTATGGCCCTCAGGCAAGCAGACCCCGGGGATACAAATGAAGGAAAGGCTTGGGTTGGATGCCAGTCTGGCTGAACTTGTTACCAGTGTGGTCCGAAGAGACATTATGTGAGAAATTGCCCCCAGAGTAATGGACCACCATCTCATCCATGCCCACTGTGCCAAGGGAATCACTAGAAGGCACACTGTACCAGGGGGAAAAGGTCCCCAGGGCCTGAGGTGTCTGACCAGATGACCCAATGGCAGGACTCAGGGTGCCTGGAACAAGTTCCAGCAGGAGCTGTCACCCTCACAGAGCCCTGGGTAAAGCTGACTGTAGAGGTCCAGGAAGTTAATCTTCTCCTGGACACGGCATGGCCTTCTCAGTATTTCTCTCAGGCCCTGGAGGCTTGGTGCTTGTTAATTCTCTCCTGTCAGGCTCTCCCTCCCTAGGCCCATCCTGGGAAGGATGATTTTTGGTCATTCTGTTCACTCCAATGGCAGTTAAGGTAGTGGAAATTAACTCATGGATTCATCACACTCAGTTGAAGCTTTGGACACCTCCTGAAGAAAGTCATGGACCCTCCTCTCCACAGCCTGAAGTTCCAGGAATCAACACTTCATCCACCTGCAAGCCCTTAGAAGATGTACATCTGCTTTTCCAACAAGATCCTCAAGGAAGTAACCAAACATAAGTCTAATTTATATGCTGGCATTAACGGGACTATAACCCTCAACTTTGCTATTGCTCAAACTCTGGTTATCCTTTTCATAGTGGGAAAGGAACCTGTCACTTTCTAGGTAAAATGCTGCTATTTTGTAAACCAGTTAAGTGTTGTTTTGAACATAGAACTCAGGAATCAATCAAACACAGGACTAAAAATCTTCCAGAAACAGTATTATAAAGCTTGTTTAACAACTGACTGTCCTGGATCTATTCTCTCCTAGCCTCATTTATAACTATTCTATATTTGTTGGCCTCTGGCCTCTCATCTTTAACCACCTTGTCACATCCGTTTCTTATAGGACCATAAGGTCACAATCCTACCGCTGGAACCCTGGATGTCCTTGGCTCATGGGCTCTTTTGTGGACCTCTAGATCAACTTGCACCCCTGAAAGGCTCCCCTCTGGAGGAAACCTCAACTGCAGGGCCCCTTCTATGCCCCATTTCAACAGGAAGTAGTTAAAGAGGATTGACATTCGTAATTCCAACAGAAGTTGGGCTTTCCTGTTCAGAGCGGAGGAATGAGGGAAGGTGTTCTCTTTCTGGGTCCACAGAGGGGTGTAGTTTTAAGGGCAGGAACTTCCCAGTGCCATGCCTCCCTCCCATCTCTCTCCATCCAGGAGATTTAATGGTTTATGTTTAAATTTCACGTGTGCAGGAAGAAACTAAGAGTCAATCACTCCAGTGGAAGTTCATTAGCCTGGGGTCTTAGAGAAGGTGGGGATTTCTCCCAGGTTAAAAGTCCCCTTCTTCCACACCTCTTCGGACTCCATGTTTGGATCCCCTTCCAGGAACACTCTTGTGCTTGTGGAAGCTCTTTTCCTCTATCCTGGATTTTCCCTCTGGAGTCCCCTTCCACGAACGCTCCCTTCGTGGAAGCCTGTCTTCCCCTCTTGTGTATTCCCTTCATCTGTGTCTATTCCCTTCCACTCAGTGTGGAAGCTACTTTCCTCTCCTGGATTCCATCATTCTGGATTCTCTCAGTGTGAGAGTTAGCTGTTTCTTTCTCTCTCCTTCTTCTGTTTATCTCTCTCTCTAAATAAATCACTTTCTACAAACACTTTTAAGTCCAGCATTTACTGCTCACTCTGCCATGGTCCCCTCTCTCATTCTTGAGAGGGCAGGAAGCCAGGAACCTGGAGAAATATCCTCTCAGGGGAGCTGAGGGCACCCTGAACCCCTGAACCCTAATATTACATTAGGATTCCGGCAACTATAATAAAATGTCATCACTGTAAATCAAGAAATCACATTTTGTTTCATTAATCAGAAAATAATAAGTTACTTATTTTATCATTTGTCAAGTCAGCTTCCTGAACTCCATACTTATATATTAAACACTGCATTGATAACTTCAACTATATACTTAATATTGAGTCAGACACTTAATTTGTTTAAAATTGAATTTTGTTCTCTCTCAGCTCTGAAATCATTCATACTTTTTCCCATCATTGTTGATAGTAATTGTATACTTAAGTTATTTAGGTCAAAAACTTTGACTTTTCTCTTACACCTAATATTACATTCAATAGGAATTTTATAATTCTAACTTTGAAATTTATGCAAACATCCAAGTACAGTTCCACAAGCCTCCTGTTATCAACATGGGCCAAGCTACACTCATCACTCATGTGAATTTTTGTAATAGGTTTCAACAGGAATATGTGCTTCCAAATGTAACCCCAGATGCTTATTATCAAACTAGTGGCCAGACAAATAATTTAATACCAAGGTAATATTTCACCCTCTTATTCAAAATCATGTGAGGTTAACACATTTATAAAAAGATTATGCATCATGACCATGTAGTGTCTTTTGTGAAAGCACAAAATTGATTCAATACTAGAAAACCAATTGATGTAAGATACCATATTGAGCATATAAAGAGAAAAAAATAGGATTACATAAATAGATGCAGGAAACAAACAGAAAACCATTTGGCAACACTCAATACTCATTCTTAATAAAAAACTCTCGATATACAAGTAGTTTTTATTGATAAAGGACACCCAAAAAAAAATACCAATAACATAATACTTCATGATGAGAAATTGGACATTTATCCCTTATTTTGAGAAAAAAAGATGTTTCTTGTCACCACTTCTATTCAACATTGTTCATAAAATTCTAACCAGTGCAACACAGCAATAAATAGAAATGAAAGGTATATATAGATCAGGAAGAAAGAAATACAATTTCTCTTTTCGTAGATGACATGATTGTCTTCATGGAAAAGGCTAAAAGAAGCTACACAAGTTTTATTAGAGTTAATAAGTATATTTAGCATGTTTGTACTATATAAAATTAAGTAGCAAAAATAATCAGATGGCTAAATAAAACAATGAACATTTGGAAACTGAAATTATAAAATAGCACAATATACAAGTGTACCAAAAACTGTAAAATATTTAGCATAAATTTACAAAAAAGTATGATGGAAAGTACCAATCACTAATAAAATAAATCAATTAAGACCTCTGTAAAAAGACAGATTTATGAATTGGAAGACAATATTTTTAATATAACAATTAGCTCTAGACTAAACTATAGATTCAATGTAATCCTAGTGATAATTCTAGAGGAATTTTATTCCCTAGAAATCTACTGGTTATTAATGTATGCAAAAATAATTATTCTAAAGAAATTGGAAAAAAAGAAAATGGGCTGCTGATATTATCTGATTCCAAACTCACCATATACCTTTAATAATAAAGGCAGTATGAGTTTAGTATGAAAATAGTTATGTAGACCAATCAAATAGAATACAGACTCAAGGGTGCTGGGAATATTTGATAGCTGTCTATCTATCCCTTACTGTATAC